AAATGTTTAAACATTAAAAACACATATCTACCATTAAAATTTTTATAAATTTAATAATGAAAACATACGCTCGTAACAAGTAATTTTGAAAAGGAAAAAAATATATAATGATAATTTTTTTGGCTAAAGTAGATATGATTACTTAATAGAAATTATATGAAATTTGATATAAAAAAATATTGTATGAACGAAATTATCGAATGTATCATAATTTTTTTTGTCCACAGCGTAATGTCGATTTGTCTATTTCGAAGTTTTGTGGCCAGCTGCGTCAGCGCGTTTTGGGACGGTGTGTACTATAAATCAATAAATCGATTTTTCAACACGATGAAACCGTGTAGAGACAAAATGAAGCTATCGAATCAATCGGTTAACAACTAAAAATAAAACTAGAAATAAATAATATAGTTGCGAGAACATTTAATATACTGAAACTTTAATACAAAACATTTTCAAACTGTTAGAAACGAGTTACAATGTTTTTGTTATTAAATTTTCGTGTATCTTGTAGAATAATTACTTTATCGAAAATCGATTAAATTTGATTAATGCTACGGTATGTTCTTGTATAATTAACCGTTTATGCCTTCGTTCGTATATAACTATTAATCTTTAAAAAAACTGACATGGGTTATCTGAACCATTAATATAAATATTGTCAGTATAAAGTGCACACTGTAAACATTATACTAATTTTAGCAATTTAAGCATATAAATCTATAAATATACAAATTGATTTACTATAAATACTTTTTACGCTTTGATGGTTACTTAATTTGGAATATAATTAATGATACGTTTAAAAGATTCAAAGGTTACGAGCTTAGCGACAAGCTCCGGCAAGATTTTTGCAAACTAAAAATGTACTTCAAAAATGAATCTATCAAGAAATTACAAGCTATTTATATATTCAAGCAGCCAAAAAAATGGATATAATTAATTAACAGAGCTAGCTTCAGATATTTTGAAGAGAACGACATTTTATCGAGTAACATGCTGCGGGAATGGGAGATAGAAAACTTTCAGCTTTTAAGAGGCTTTATACATGCACCACCTACGAGGGTTTTGTGAAAGATAGATTCCAGAATCTTCGAGATCGTTAAGACTTTCGACGAGGCTATATAACGCCCGGCTGCTCTTATCGAAAACTTTGCGAAGAAAAATAAAAAAGAAAGTGCAGAACAGTTGCTACAGTTGTGAGATTCTCTACAGAAGATTTTTTATGGTGAAGTGATTATTGCTGCGCGTGGGCCACATTTTTTCCAGTATTTTTTTTTTATTTTAACCACGATTATACCAAACAAAACATTGAACTTCTGGAATCCAGCTTTGAAAATAATATTAGTGTTTGTATGTGTATGTAGGAAATGGAATGCTGAAATAATCCCACTGACAATTCTGTATATGCGTGTTTTTATTTTTAAAATGCTAAAATGTTAGAAATCTTTTATCGATTAGTTATCGACAAACGTGCAAACCATTAATTAATTAATTGTTTCAAACATTACTTAACAAGAAAATAGATATTTACAATAAATTCGATTTTTCCTCTAAATAAGAAAATACAAAATTATATTAAAAAATTAGTATTTACGTCAATATGATTATAAAAAGATGTGCAGAAAAACGAACCACTCATGCATAATTCAATTTGATAAAACTAATGTTTGTTTTAGATTTCGTCTAATTGAGTTCATATTCTCGCATATTTTTCAATCCTTCGACGATCGATACTCAATTAAAATGTTCTCCTAATCTCATAAATGTATCCCACAGTATCGACAGGCGTGCAGATGTAATTACGCCATGTCGAAACAAGCGATCCAAGCGAGAATAAAGTGTTCTAACTTTTTCAGAATCGTGCCTGCGATTAATGTAGATCTAAATTAATAAATCTTAAGCTTCAACTCGCCGACAGGAAATATTATAAAACAATTTAAACTTCTATTTTAATTTGTGAATATTTTTAATTCCTTAGACTGACGTAAAGATAAAGTAAAGAAAAAGCAAATTAGATTTTAGAATAAAAAGCCGCCCCTATTTGTATTAATTTATTTTGGCTGCGTTATATCGCATTGAGTTAGTGCTGAAATTCTGAGAAATTATTATAAGCTTTCAGGCTTCAGGAAAGCCGTAATTTATTCTCGATTACGATGCGATCGTGGGGATGCCTTCACCACCGATTTATACAGAGAGAATTATCCACAATGACGCTCACAGGTGGGCTATCTCGTATATGATGCATTCACAAATAGTATAGCACGTATGTCTACATCGCTCGACGCGTGTACACGTGTGTTCGCCGGTTCCCGAAGGAGGCGTTAACGCAATCTACACAGTCCCGATCTTCCGTAAACGCGCGATACTGTCGAGGCGATATCCTCGAATGCAATTTCAACTATTAGTATAACTTAATGCCGCTATGCGATGGAATGTATGAAATAATGCGGCGGAACAGTAATACGTGCTTGATATGGATATTGCACTAATATGAGTTGATATATGAAAATGATATGGAAGTATGACAAAGGAGAGGCAAATTGGTAGTGAGAGCTAAGAATATTTTACTAATAAAGGATTCGAAAATCAGGAAATACATAAGGTGTTATCTATCTTGCCAAGCAGACTTCAACTAAATATTAATTTTAGGCTTGGCTTTATAAAGAGACAATTAATGTTGAGTGTTAAGAATATAAAAGGAATGGTGTCCTATCAGATCTTTTATAAGGAAAAATCGACTCCAAATTGGTCAAAGGGTCCGTGGATGAAAGAAAGAGAGAGACCCCCAGAGCAGCCTGTATATCCTCAATGAATCACCTCTTAGTCTCAATTTCCCGTCATTCAACGTTCCCGTAGTCTCTCGCCCCGGCCCAATTAGATTGAGATCACTTCGTCAAGAATCGCGCGACTTTCCCGGTGCTATGTCGAGCGCGCTCCGATCAAGATCGTCGGCCGGTGAACCCGTTCGTGCGAATATCTCACTATTCGCAAAATCCGTTACATGGACGGTTAACCGGGTCGAAGGAAGTCAATTGCGTGTAATCGACCCGCGCCAAGGCACCAAATCATCGCCGGGGTTCGCCACGGGTTCGCCGCGGGGAAGAAAGAAAAGAGAAATCAGATCGAGGCGGGGAAAAAAAACCAACTGCAGCGAGTTCTAATAACGCGAGACGAGGTTGAGGTAGATGAATAGACAAGGATACTCCGGGGAGAGGCGTGAGTCGTCGTCGCTATCGTACTCTCGAATCGGAAACCAATTTGAAAGCAATACCGCGCTCATCGCCACGGCTTATCTGATGAAGGGGGTTTGAACAAAATGCTCTTGGATCCGGCCCCGATGATTCCGGTTGGGCCTACCTGACGACTTAAGCGACTTTAACGCCTCTCGGTATTTAAATCGGTTTCTTCTCTCCGACGAACCGTTCCGTGATTCTCATCGCGATTCGCTCGTTAGAATTCACATGTAGAATCGTACTGTTGACGCCAATATCTCGAAGTGACGAAATCTTCGTTTCTTCTTCGAAGAGAAAGTTTTATTTACAAGGGATACTCGATGCG